CATTGAAAAATTGAACTTTATAACCCCATCTTAAATGTAGTATTGAATAAAGGGGTCGTTGAGGTGGCTGAGGTAAAGATTCTGTGTAACTGTCAGTGGTATCTGGTACAAACATCGACTTGGACCCGCAATATGCAGCATTTATAAACTCTCCACCTCCATTTAGAGACGGCATTGAATAAAGAAACTGTTGAGAAAGGATTTTTAAACTTTATAAGCACTTCTCAAGGACAGTATTGGATAACTCAGTTGTAGGATAGTCTAGAGAGAAAAATCACATGAAACTGTCAGCGATATGTGGTAAAATTATCCTATTTTGACAACTAGTTCCCTCCTTTGTTATATTGTTTTCATTGTTCTGGCTCCAGTAAGCTCCGTTTAGGACTGGGTTGTCCAAGGATTCCCAACGAGGCTGATTCTCGGCACCGGTCGCATGACACCTTGAATCAGCACTTGTTTTTTACCCCCAACCATGATAAGACTACCTGTTTGAATGCTGTGCTTTTGAACGACAACGAATACCCAACTATAAAGTCAGGCCTTAGCTAGATACCTTTCAACTGCAACAGGGGCAAGCTGTGTCCCTGCCATCGTCGTGATACGGTATCTATTACCAGTCGGCACCCACGGGGAGGGTTCAGTGGGGGACCAAATATATATCTAGCTCTATTTTAGAAACACTTTGATAAATTATTTGTCGTTGAAAAATTAGCGCTCACATTTTCGGAAAACATCAGAAAATATATGACTATTTCCATTAGAGCTTAATATATATAGATTTTGATATTACGTTCAACTTCGCTAAGTTGTCATGGTTTTTATTGTACCGAAAAAATTTAGTGTTCTATGTTCCTTTCCTGACGGTATCATAAAAAAAGATAACTGCTTCCAGTATAATCCAAATATTTGCAAATATTGAAGTTGCTGTTTGGGTGTGTGACTTTGCTAAGTCTTCGATTCTAAACAATTTCGTTGAATTTGAAACAACATTCGCGCAAGTAAAGAAGAATACTTGTACTATTAAAAATACATTTCGAGAGTCTCTGCTTGCTAATTGTATTGAGAGTTTTTTTTTTCAAATTACATTTTAGCTTAATATGGAGTCTAATCGCTCTACTTTAAACTATTCACCGGAAAATGTTATCCTATTATTCTCTTTAATTGACATTCAAATCTTCAAAACTGACACTATTATTTCCCCTTTTGTTTTTCACTCACTCACTAAGTGTCTACCGTGTAACTCGCCGTCTATCTGTCGTAGAGTTCATTCTCTTCCAACGACCTTTGTATTTCGTTGATAATTATTTTTTTCCACTCTGCTTACAGCAAACAGGTAGCTGCTACCTGTTTGTATAATATATATGTATGTTTGTCTACTATCTATCCGCCATAACTACACGTGCAAGCGCGCTGCAGGAGGGTGTGTTTTGATTTGAATTGATTGAGTGTATTGTGTCTGCTATATACAATTTTATCGGCGCTACTACCTGCCGCCACTATCAGTTGTGTGTTGTTATTGCATACATACATTTCTAGATATGAGTTTATATTGTATTAAGATTATAGCCGAGCCGTATAGCGTAGTATTCTATTCATGAATCCGACATTCTGAAAACAAAACTCGTCTGACGCCATTACCTTTTCGAGTCTTATTGTCTCTTTTATAGTGCGCCGTTTTTGGTAAATTTGTATAATAATAAACATAATAATAGAGCCACCACAGTCAGTTGGTAGTGTGATCGTATGCCGAGGTATTCTTGATTGCATACAAACTTTTTGCTGTTTCTATCTTCGTTGGTCTTGCGAAATGCGCATAAAATGCGCTAACGTTTAGAATGTCGCATAAAATTTGTGTTCGAGCCACGTAACGGTATTGATATGCTCGGTAAAAGAGCTATAAAATGTAATTGCTGCTACTGACAGCGCGTTCTGAAACTTTTCTTATATATTCTTGCCGGGAAATATACTTATACGGGCCCCACCAGCTTATGCGGCATAACACAAGTTTAACAGGCTTTATACCAGTTTATGCAACTTTATACTAGTTCATATGACTATAGTTTATGCGACTTTATACCAATTTATGCTTTTTAAACTAGTTTATGTGATTGTTTTCGGCACAATTTTGTTGTTGTTCCGTGTCTAAGTATTTGGAACGCAGTTCCTTATTTCCGCTTCGTATATTTTAAATTGAGTGTACCACATTTAGTACTTCGTAATTTATGTGTCGTGTAGCCCAACTCCATACACACTGGTGTCTACTTCGTACTTCGTTAGCTCCTTTATCCTTTTTTCTTCGCTTCTTTGTGCGCATTTCTTTACTGCCAAGTTACGTAAATTAGCGCTATTTCTATGCGTGTGTGTACTCGTAACTTCTCAACTTTATTGCTGTAATGTCTTTGACGTCCAACGTCTACTAAATGGCAGTTAAAGTCATTAGTGTGTATTGTTGTTGTTGTTGTTGTTCAAATGGTTTCTGTACCTTAGGTCGCGTTCTTCACGCTCACGCAATCCTTTTAGTCAACTTATTTGTGGCGGCGTCTCAGTCTAATTGTTGTGCCAAGATATCATTACAATGTAACTACTAACTACCGGATGCTTGAAAGCCATCGTTTGTTTGCTGTTGTTGTCATTGTTGTAATTGGCGTAGCGTTTACTTTCAATTTGATTTGAAAATATTGCAAATTGGTTATTTGCTGTAAAGTGTTGTGCGAGTCTAGTTCGAAAAGTAAATCGTTCAGTTGAGTTTGTGACGTTTAAAGTGTTGAACATTAAATGCGTGTTTTTGAAAGAATTTTAAGTTGAAAATTTATCAATATTGAAATGTACTCGACCTAAATCAATCAAATTATGTGTTTTAGTGATAGAACTGTAGTTCAAACAAATTATATATAATTAAGTAACTGAAGTGCAAGTGAGTGCTGTAGAAATTCTGTTTATATCTAATAACTATACAACGCTCAATAAATTTTAAATCTCTCAAAGCTTTCTTCAATACCCTATCTAACCATCTTCCGAGATATGAAAAACTGCTATAATATTTATACAAAATCATTTAGTTTGGCAACTATTTCGTGATTTCTATACTAAGCTTACTTTTTCTTTCTTTAAAACGATAGAGCATCGCTCAACAAAGCTTTCCAACTCCACTGAAAGCTTTCTTAAACACCCTTTTATCTTCCGAGATACGAAAAACTGCCGTAATAACTACATAAAATCATTTAGTTTGGCAACTATTTCGTGATTTCTATACTATTTTTCAAAGCTTACTTGAAAAAGCCGACAGTAAGAAGCTTTCATCGCTTATTAGTTGTACATTGCTTATCTCAAGGTGTTTTAAAAAAGTGCTGTTTAAGTATTTGTAAAAACATTTATCTAAGAAAACAATAATATTGTGTGTTTCTTTCTTTAAACCGATAGAGCATCGCTCAGCAAAGCTTTCCAACTCCACTAAAAGCTTTCTTAAACACCCTTTTATCTTCCGAGTTACGTAATATCTACATAAAAGCATTTAATTTGGCAACCATCTCGAGATTTCTGTAATATTTTTTAAAGCACACTTGAGAAAAGTTCGTTTTATGAAGGTTTTTTCTTTGCTTATCGATTATCAAAAAAAAAAAATTTTTTTTTATTAAATAAATATTAGTCTAAGAAAAAATAATTTTGTGCGTTTCTTTCTTATCATAGCTTTCCATTTCAAGTGCAAAAAAGCGCGCTTTGGAGCTAGCTATAGTATAGTATAGTATATAAGTTTAGTAAAAGAGAATGGAAAAGGAAAGAGCTTTTTTGCAATATTTTAAAGCTATAAAGTCAAAATTACATTGGGCTTGATACCTTAGTACAATGTGGAGCTAGGTGTTGCACATGGTCGTTATCGGCCTATTGTCACGCCCACTAAGCGAAAACTAAGTGCTATAACTCAGTTTCAAATTTAGATACAAGACTGTAAGTTAGTACAGAGCACCGCAGTATTGAATGGCATTGGTGCGCTGAAATTTTAATTAAAAGCTTACAGGTTTAATTTACATATCTCATCAAACTCTTTAGTTAGATGTTGAGGAGAAGTCTTTCACGCGCTATTAAAATGTGTGAAATCAAAGCCGCTTCCTAAACAATAGTTATGTCGAAAACTACAAAATAAGTCATTAAATAAGTACGTCAAAAACATCAAGTTTCACATACTACGTGATACGAAAGGGTCTGATAGTAGCCGGTGTCAAAATTCGGTTAAAAAGGTTAAAACCTATATCTCAGAAAAATTGTAATCAAATTTTGCGCATGAGATTATTTCGACTTTTTTATGTTACTATGGAAAATGAATTGAAAATAGGCGCAATCGAACCACAACCACGCAACTTCCCATATACGAGTATAACAATTTTAAATACCCTTTGATTCTTTCATTTTATGGCATATATACCGAGAGTCAGTGACGGTAGCAAAACCAGACTTTGCATAAATACTTTCTCACGTTTAAAAATTGTCGAAATCGAAGCATAACTTTTTACCCGCAGTTACCGAATTTGTGGACCACAGTGCCTTTAAAACTTGGCAGTGCGTATGATAACATATATATTTATATGAATTCTATTTAACAGAACTGAAAAGCAATTAAGGCGAGTCAGTGCAACTAAAATACGCGTTAACTCTAGTTCTAAGCTTCAAAACAATTATCTGTAACATTTAGAACGTTTATTTAGGAATTGTGAATTTTTAAGTGATTTGAGAACATAAGCATCTCAGGTGATCGTTGTTCGGGCAACAAAAAAAATTTTTTTTTTGGTGATAACTCTTTTATACGTGCAAAACGGCGGCTTCCACCTTCGGTCTTCAACAAACAATGTCTGCGGACTTTCTGCCATAATATATTTCGATATATTATATATACATAAATATATATATGTATGTTGTCTGTATGTATCGGCGCAGATGCACTTGATTGCTGTTGAATGCAAGCATTCCTAAAATATCAAATGTAAAAAATTTTTCCAACACAACAGTTGCAACCAGCAGGAGAAGCCACAATAATTCCGACGTGTAATGAGCTACAGGAACTGGTTTTTGATAAGTACATACATATACGTCTAAAGACTGTATGTGCCTGCAATCAGACAACAAGTGGCAAAGTGATTACGTTGAAGTCGTAAAAATTTACAAAACAACAATAAAAAAGTTGAAAAGTTACAAAGGAAGTCAATTCATGTACAGTGCAAGAACTTGATAAAACAAAACACAAAAAACGCATCAAAATAAAAATACAACAACGCAAGCAGGAAAAGCAGTGCAACAAATTAACGAGAAAATTATAACTCGAAACACACAACAACGCGCATTGCTGCAACAGTTGTTATTGAGCCGGCTACAGACAAGACGTGTGCACCAGCATGGCTTCCCTGCAGCAATACCAACACCAGAAGCGGCCAAGCATCACCAACTGGTTCTCCTCACTACGCCGACAGCCAAAGAATAAGAAAGCCGCCGCATTGCAAACTGGCGGCGACAAGCATTTTCAACGCAGCTGCATCGATCTCAGCGCCAACAGCACCTTCTATGTGCCACAAGTGGAGCTTGGCGGCGGTGGTTTGTCGGCTAAGAAGGGGCAATGTTACTTGCCCAGCGCAGGCGCATCTATTGACAATCTGCAGGACGATGAAGATGCCACAAGTGACGACAAGCGCGCTTTGGTGAGTGGCAAACGTGTCTCGCAGTTGTGCTCACGTTGTTGCTGCAGCAGCAAGTATGCGACGTCATCACGTCCTGAAACGCCGCAAATGCGGAAACGTGCCGATACAACGCCGGCACACGTGAATACGAAGCCAACAATACCAGCAACGACAAAGTCGAAAACAAAATCACCAACACCGTACATCACTATGGCCAGCTACAATATACCCGCGCTCACCGACAATCCCATTTATGAAGGCCTAACAACGGCGCCCATCACGTTGAGCAGTCAACATACCGTGGAGAAGGAAGTGCAACGCAATGTCGAAGTGACGCACGCGCCCTGCGACGAACCGAATACGCTGCTGCTGACAAAACGTTCGGAATTCACACGCTCTGTGACCACTACCATACAAAACACTATGGTGATAACGCGTCCCGTCGAATTGGTGTTGAACGAGCGCGGTGAAGTGGTAGCGCGGCGGCCGCAACGTGAGCGCGTCAAACAACGCTCGAATAGTTTGGATAATGTGCTGAATGAGGATGAGGAGAGCGGCGATGCTGATACGGTGAGCGCGAATAGCATGCCAATTTGCGCATTGCGGCACGGCGTAAGTCCGCTTAATGATGCCGGCGGCGATTTGCGTTTTATTGACGACAGTTCAACGTCACAAAGTGAAACGGAGCGCAGCGCGCAACACAACAACAAGGAGAACAATAAGCCGAGTTGCAATGGCAGCAAAGCGTTTGTGAAGAATCTACCAGTGAATTTGAGTGTGGGAGAAGAAGGCGGTGGCGGCGGTAGTAATAGCGACAAGCTTAGCTGTGGTGACACTAACGGCTATGACAACAACAATTATCTCTGCGATGATTGCCGGAATGTCTTGGTGCGGAACCGCAACAATGCGGCGCAAAATGCTGTGATACTGCGCAACAACAACAAGGTAAGTAGACACTACCAGTCAGCAGAGAATGTGTGTGAAAGGCAACGCGCGCGGCAGGTTTGCTGCGGCGCGCTTATGTGTTAAGCGTGTTGTTGCCAGGCCCCGCGTAAAGAATTAGCTAAGCTTAGCCGCTCTTCGTGGCATTAAATTATTTTTTAATTGTTTTGTTTTAGAATTTTATGTTTTTTCATTTTTATGATCACTTTTTATTACCCCGAAACCAGTTCGTACGCGTTTTTAAAGCCTGGGTTAGCGTGGAATTTTGATCAATTACCTGTACGCTGTCTGTTTGTTATTATTATATAGCGTCTCTTCTATTGAAAAATTGTAAAGAACTGGTTTCAATCTACACTTAGTTGTCTTCATAGCGTTTTACAAGCGCGCTTGAACGCCGTGCGTGTGTGCTTGCGCGCGCCCGCTGTACGCGCCGCTTGTGTGCCTCACTGTCCGCTTCATTAATTGTCTAGCGCGGCCGATAGATGGCATTCGTATAGTTTTAATAAGCTATATCGGCGCAAAGACGTTGGCTTTTAATTAACTATTGACGATCACCTTCGCTACACTTTTTGCGCGCTGCGAAGGAGTGGTTGCAATTGTGTTTGTTGTTGCTAGCGCTGAAAGGTAGCAATCTACTTACTGGCGCGCAGTTTTTTTTCAAACTAAATAATAAAATGCCGATTTAAATATACGGTTAGGTCATTGCGAAAATTAGTAGCCGGTGGAATTGGCTGTAGAGTTAAGTTGCAGTTGCGCGAAATTTGTTAGATAGTAAATCTTCGGCACTTTGATTTTCGTTTAAATATATATATATTGTTTCTGAGTGAAATCGCTGTAGTGCATAATTTATTTGTTATTTAATATTTTCACCGGTTACAAGTCGAAGCTACATATTTTTTTTATATTTAAAGTGGTTGCAAAATTTTTAGTAGTGGTCTGCAATTTTCTTAATTTTCTCAAAAAACACTTTCGTTTTTTGTTTTCCCTCCACAAAGCAAATTTTTTTTTGTTGCTGCCAGCAGCTTACTATATTTAATTGTTATACTGTTTGTTTTTGTCGTTATAAGTTTTCTTTTGGTTCTTTTAAAAGGGAAAAATATAATTTTCATAAAAAATATAAAAAACATTATTTAATTTGGACATACAAATCAGTATATCCCTAGAGCTAGGAAAATAAAAATAAACAAATACAAAAAATAATGAAAAAATAAACAAAAAAAATATATAAATACAATATATATAAAAAAAAAAAGAATTTTAAAAATTTTAAAACTGAAAAAAACATTTTTTAATTTTTTAAATTAAACAAAGATAACACAAAATAGGGGAAAAATTTAAAAAATAATAATAATAGGTAGATAGGTATAGTGGCAGCCTTACGACACACCTAGGCCTTTAGGAGGCCCAGTGTGATACCACTGGGTCTAAGGTCCCCTCACTCTATTGGCTCCTCTCTGGTCCACCCAAAATAATAATAATAATAACAAAATGTAATAAAAATATATAAAATAATAATATCTTAAAAAATAAATAAAAAATTAATTTTTTTTTGTCGTAAAACAATATTGTAAAAATATTCAAAAACTAAATTATAAATTTGATGAAAAATAAATAAATAATAAAAAAATATTTCTAACAGTATAATGACCATTAAAAGCAATGAATTATTATTTTTTAATTGAGTAAAAAAAATTTTAAATTAATAAAATAAAAAATGAGAAAACAATTAAAAAAAGACAAAAAAATTGTTAGTGAAAATAAATTAATAATAACTAATTGAAATAAAGAAAAAAAATCCATTAAAACTTTGGCATTCAAAAAAGAGTACAATACAAAAGTTTGTACACAAAAATATTCAAAAATTTAATTACAAATTGAATAAAAATAAAATAATAAATAATAATTCTAACAGTATTACGATAATTAAAAACAATATTAAAAGCAATTAAATTAAGCAAAAAAATCTATTAAGAAAAAAAAATCAAAATTAAATAAAATAAAACATGGAAAAATAATAAAGAAATAAAAAATTATAAGAAATAATAAAACTAATTGAAATATAGCAAAACAAAAATTCACAAAACCTTTTAAATTAAACAAAAACAAAAAAAACCCAAAATTTTTGACACAAAATTTTCAATTCAAAAATAAAATATAAAATAAATATAAGTTAAATAGTAAAACAATATTTAAAATTTTTATTTTAGTTTTGTTTTGCTAATTAAGTGTATGAAGATACACATAAAATTACTATAATAAAATAGTAAAAAATAAGTACTATTTCAGATAAAATAATAAAAAAAACTCAAAAAATATTACTTTTTTTTACATTTTTAATTTAATATTAATTTATTGTAAAATAATGAAAATAATTTGTCCTTAATGGCCATGCGTTTTAATCAAAAGAGCATAAAATACTAAATTAAATAATCTGAAAAACTTTTGAAATTTGATAGAAACAAATTTTTTTTAAATAAATATGTTTTAAAACTAAAGAAAAAGCAATTTAAATTCCTATGATCATAAAACTATTTCAAAGAAGATTTTAATATACACATATATTCATTTCACAATTATAATAGATCTATAAAAATGTAAAAGGCGGAAAAAATTATATTATTATTTTTTAGACATTTTCTAAAGATACAGCTTCGATCTACATAAATAAAAAAATATACAAAATCAAAAAATATACAAAATAAAAAGATAAAAAAATATACAAAACAAAATAAAAATTAAAAAAAAAAAAGTTTAGAAAATTTAGAAATAAAAAAAATAAGAAATACACATATAAAAGAATAAAAAAAAAACCAAATAAAAAAATTAAAAAGAAATAAATAAAAAATAAATGAAAAAATAGTTACAGCTTCGATCTACATAAATAAAAAATATACATATAAAAGAATAAGAATAAAAAAATATTAAAACTAAATAAATAAAATATTTAATTTAAAAAACATAATGTTTTAACAATTCATTCTTTTAGTAAATATTATTACTAGTATTTACTATAGACTAAAATGTATAATTCTAATATTGAAAATTTTGTTTTCTTCAAGTACTTCAAAACACTAAAATATTACTAATATTATATATTGTACTACAAACACAAAATAATAGAGAAAAACGTCGATAAAAAACCAAAAGAAAAATTTCAATGAGTTATTTGCGCTTTAATTATTTTGTTTTTAAATATTTGCGATATATTCTACATATTTGTTGTCGCGTAAAACATAAAAGCTAAAAATCCAACGCACCTTGCAATATCTCAACAAATTATACGCTTTTTATGTCATTATTTTCTTTTTGTCTTCTCTTCAATTGCTATTTATAATAACGCGAATAAATTAGTATTTTATCAAGCGGGTCTTTTTTGTATAATTTAATTGTATCTTTCAAGCGCGTTATTTCCCAACTAAGATCTGCTGTGGTTATTGTTTTTCAACATAGTTAGAATTCCTTTGTCATCAAAGAGCAATTTCGTAAAAAAAAAATATAAATACAATGCTCGTCACCTTTTCGCGATAAATTGTGAGATCATCAACGTTTTGTGTAAATGTAAATACCCACATAACTTATACAGTGTGGGGCAATGAAAGAAGAACACTATAGTTTAGTATTTGTAATATGTCTTTAGAAAGTGTCTTAAGAACGAATATCATGAGAGCATAATATGATGTTATATAGACTCTTCAGATATGTGAATCAAACAAATTCCTTGCTACATATATTTTTATTTGAAAATGAGCATCTCATACTTAGTTCTCTGTTGGTGGTATCAGTTTTTGTGCAAGGAGTTACCAAAATATACAACATTATCTATTATTATAATTTCAACAAATTCCTCACGCCATAAATTTATATTCGAAACAGCTCATTTCAGGCTTAGTTCCCTGCCTTCTCTCTATTCATCATATGATTATCGAAGTCGTATAAAAAAAAACTTGTTTTCTGGCTTTTTCATTAGTTAAGAGCGCAGTAAATCTTTTAAAATAATCTAATATAACTTTTCACGTACATAAGTATTCTGCGAATTAAGTTATAACTTTTTGAGCAAAATATCAAAAAATGGCAGATCCTTGCTATTTTTCGTACCCTATTACTATGCATATGTAATTCTCCACCGGTTTATTATATTTAGTTTACATATGTATGGTTGCTATAAAAGTTAGAATCTTATTTTATTGCCCACTGTTGTTCTCTATTGTTCTAAATTACAGCATCTGACCAGTCATTGTACCCAACGCAACACCTTGTAGACGTAATTAGTACTTGAAAAGTTCTCATACATACTAATACATTAATAATTGAATAAACTTGCGCAATTGTCTACGAATAATTATTAACGCATTGCTAGTGTTTATGAGAATTTGTTCACAATTACTGCAGCTGCAATTAATAAATATTATAAGAAAAATAAAACAAGAGAAAACGTTTACTTCGTTTGCCCCAAATCAAAAATACCCTTCACAAAGTTTCCACACAATAGCTTTTTTTGTTGTCCAGTTTGTATGGCAGCTATATGCTATAGTGGTCCGATCTGAGCAATTTTCTCTGAGATTATATCATTGCCTTAGAAAATAATCAATGCCAAAGTTCATGAACATATCTCGTCAAATAGAAAAGTTTTTCATATAGGAATTTAATTTTGATCGTTCAGTTTGTGTGGCAGCTATATGCTATAATGGTCCGATATTGGCGCTTCCGACAAATGAGCAGCCCCTTGTGAAGAAAAGGACTTGTGCAAAATTTCAAATCGATATCTCAAAAACTGATGGTCTAGTTGGGCATATATACACACAGACGAACATGGCTAAATCGACTCACCTCGTCACGCTGATCATTTATATAGTATATACTTTATAGGGTCTCCGACATTTCTTTCTGAATGTGACAAACTTAATATACACAGTTCAGGGTATAAAAACGTTGCTCCCAGTAAATGCAAATCAAGCAAAATTAGCAGCGAAGAGTCTTTGTATATTGACTTGATGCTGTCATATTAATAAAAATTTAATTTGCTACAAAACGGCGGCACACCGGCAGACCAGACTGCCATAAATTTCCCGTGCAAATTACAAATATAGACACATGCGCCGTTGTACTGTCATTGCTGCGTTCATCGATACCTTCAAATGTCATTTTGAGGTTAATATTTGAACGAGGTGAAATTTTTACGGAGAAAAATGCAACAAAATTAAATGACTTACAAAAAAGAATAACAACAACAATAATAATAATAATAATAATAACAACAAGTGTCAAGTTATAAGAGAGCGGTAGCCACAACACTTAAATTGGTAAATTACTTCGCTTAAGTGACAGCGACTGGGTTATTCAAGTGTCACTTAAATATCAACGCTGAGCGCGGCCAAGTGTATATTCGCGGAACTATGTTTTGGTGTTTTTTTTTTACTTACTCTTTCTAGTTTCGTAATTTATTTTTTGCATTTTTTTTTATAATTTTTCCAGTTTCGCAATTTTTTTTTTCTATTATTTTTCCGTTTGTTATTTTTATTTTTAATTTATTTTTATATATTTTCCAGTTCGCAATTTTTTGCGATTATTTTTCCTGTTTCGCATTTTTTATTTATTTTTTTCCAGTTTCGCAATTTTTGGCTTTCGCAGTTTATGGCAAATTAGTTTTGTATTTAATGAGATGGAGCGCTTCTTACGTGGTACGAATACACACACGTGTATCCCGTTATTTGTGGTAGAAAGTGTAAAAATCCATTTGGCAAAGGAAATGAACTAATTTAGAATGCTATTGTTGTCGCTCTTTGATTCGCACACTTTCGAATTGTGCGCAAATAAGAGGTGTAGTAATGAAAATGTCAGCAATTGCGAAGGTTGCTGTAAAGATTTGTCAACTGGTAGTAAATACAATGTGTAACAAAATAGATTTGTCAAAAATATTAAAATTTTTTAGCTGCAAAATAATATTAGTTTAAAATATTTTAATTTTTTAGCGTACACAAACATTAAAATGAGTTTATTAGTGTTTTAACATATTGACTCTCTCACTTGTACGCTCCTTCTCTCTTTTTTTTTAATTTCCAGGCAATTTCTTCATATTTCTCTTTCTTTTGCTATGGCTATCTTTTTGTCCGCTTAGTTGTCATATACGCCTTTAACACATTATTGACCTTTAAACCTATCCATTTTCAGAGTTCCCAAAGAATCATATATTTCTTGGATTGAGAGAAAGTAAAACTTTAACGACAGCACTCAAGTAATTTTTCTCACAATTGAAATTTAGCAGTTACAAAGCTAACGTAACCTCTATTTATATCATTTTTGAAGAGAATTTTATTAAATCGTTGAAGCTAGTACTATATTCTTTTTACAAAATCAACATCGAACTGCCAGACAACGTAGTCGTTGTCTACATTTTGGCGCTTTGCTATTAAAATTTGATTATATTACAGTCGACACCAAACTTATTATACTTTGGTAAGTTTTCCGTACCGTCCGTCTTAATTTCAATTTTGTTCAAAAAAATCGTAGCTAGGCCATATTTTACTTCCAAAATCTACCTTAAACTACCAAAAAAAGTAACCGTTGCCTACATTTCAGCGCGCTGTAATAAATACTCGCCGTTCTTACTAAAAGGTTTCCATATTAATGACTGAGTAGCTAATATAATAATTATATTTTACCCTGAACAGGGTATATTAAGTTTGCCACGAAGTTTGTAGCACCCTAATAAAAACGTCGGAGACCCTATAAAGTATACTTGTATATAGAAATGATCAACATAACGAGTTGAGTTGATCTATGGTAGCTATGTTCGTTTGTCTGTATATACGCGAAACTATACCAATGAACCCAAAAAGCTCATTTTGGACCCAAAAAGCTGCTCATTGGCCGGAACTGCCGATATCGAAGTACTATAACATATTGTTGTTGAATTGAAAACTTTTTTATTTGTCAAAATATTTTCACGAAATATTGAATGGAATATAATATTATATCATACAAATCCCATAACTTTGGTGGTAACCTACGTATTGACGCCACATTTAATTACCATTAAAGGCACATCGTACCTCGCTTGTTAATTACAAAACTCAGCTGCATTCGTTATTTTGCCAGTGACATACGCATTTTGGTTGAATTTCAAGTAGCTTGTATTTGTAAACTTTGGCTATTTTTATAAATTCACCAACAGTCGTCGTCGTCAACGTTGTTGTCGTCGTCGTTTGCGTTTGTGTATCCTTCCTCTTCCGCTTGAAATTCGCATACGTAATGCAAATTTCATTGACACGCATTTTCCAAAATATATACAATACTTTTTGTATACAAATTGGAAATATATACATATATAGTATATACCAAAATTTAATGTGTAGTCTCATATTATGTGGTAACTTAAATTGCTGACGGAAATGCTATTCGCCACTTTTGCAAATTCAATATTTAATTAGCTTGTCTAATTTCTTTTAAGCGTGTAATACTAAACGTTTTCCATTTCCTTATTTCTTTTGTAAATTCAATATTTAATTTTTCCTTTTCCTTATTTCTTTTGTGTACTTGCAGCAAATCAAAGATGAACTCGGTGAGGTCGTATCGGAAATGGAGGCGCTGGACGTGCCCGAAGATAATAAACATTCCAATAAAGAGAAACAAATGTCAATTGGGCGGAAAAAGTTTAATATGGATCCAAAGAAAGGTAAATAATAAATACGTGATATTAGTTCCACTGAAGTTTTATGATTTAATAGAAATTAGTAGCTCGTAGAATTATGGGAAGTCTTGCCACGATTTCCTATTATCTTGCTTGGTGTATAATGGACTTTCGTTTTTAGAAACTATTATGCGATACCTCAGAGTTTCATTTAATAAATTCTAGGATGTTTCCATAAGTAATTAGTCTAAAAAAACCGAAATTTTTGAAAAAGATTATTTTTTTATTAATAAGGATGTAAGGAAACTTTACAGTGATACCTCGAGAGCTCCATTTATTAACTACGAAGGCGACACGAGAAGTTCTTAGCCTACTAAATAAAAATGAATATATCGGATAAAATCAATTTATTTCTCAATAGATTTCTCCTTTTAGTTCTAAACACTTAAACCAGCGATGTTCCATCTTGTTTAATCCATCTCCGTGACGGTGATAACCTCCTCATTCGACTAAATTTTCTGCACGGCGAGTGAGCTTTTCAACTGTGAAAACAAAAACAAGTCGCGGCGGCGAAAGTGAGACTTTCGCACTCCACATTCTTTGCCTTCTTCCTTTTGACTGCTTCTAGGTGTTTGCTGCTTCCAGTGGATCCATCATTTTTTTTTTACTTACCGATGAAAACAGTTTTTAATCTTCGAAATAACCGGATTTGGTCGGATACATTCCAGGTCAATTCCAGTTACTTAGAACCAGTCGTTGCGGGATCGGCGGTCCCAAAACGACGCAGAACCAACTCCCTTCATATACGGCTGTGAAGTGGTCTTACAATTGCGTCTGTTGTCCCGAGGAAGCGAATTCGGCGCCTATTGCTTCATAACTTTCTCAAGCTCAAGATTTTTTGTGACCCACACGGTATTTTGAGATGCGTACTGTCTCAGGTATTTCTCGTAACTACAATCGGCGGCCTGACAATAGGCCGTGGACATTTGTCTCGTTATTCTATGTACTAGCCGTTTTCATGGCACCTGGACGTGGCTCATCGGAAGCATCATTGCGTTAAAATTCGTTGAACCAATTTTCAGGGTCGCCATCGAAAGAGATGAGTTTGTCGTATACAGAATTTAAGCACTCTTTGATTTCACTCCGCAAATTCCCTTCCAAATAGAAAAATCGATTCATCCACACACCCTCTTCCATACGACCTCCTTCGGCGGAAATTTGGTAAATTTTTGTATAGTTCTTTTGCGATAGTGGCGCATTCGGTCGGTGATTTTGAAGTCATATCGGTTGTAACACCCAGATACTCTATAAAAACGAACTGAGTAGACTTATTCAAGTCCGTCTGTCTGTATATACACGAAACAGTCTCGTAGATTTTAAGATATCGAAAATTATCACAAGTCTTTTTATTTCCAAGAATCTGCTCATTTGTCGTCGGAACCGCCAATATCGGACCACTATATAATATAGCTGTCATACAAATGGATCGATCAAAATCAAATTCTTATATGGAAAACTTTTTTATTTTACAATATATCTTCATGAATTTCGGCATGACATATTGTCCAAGACAACGTTACAATCTCCGAATATATTGTTCAGATCCGAGTTCTATAGCATCTAGCTGCCAAAAAAACTGTCCGATCAAAATCGAGTTCTTGTATCGCAAACTTTTTTATTTGAAAATATATCTTCACGAAATTTTGTATAGATTATTGTTTAAGGCAATGCCACAATCTCCGAACAGATTGTTCAGATCCTTCCACTATAGCATATAGTTGCCATACAAATTCTCCGATTGTAATCAAGATAAAGATCTTTTTATACCCATTTTTATTGTAAGAAATGCATCTGTGAAGGGTATATATATATTCGGTGCAGTCGAAGTTAACGTTTTTTCTTGTTTCATATAATATACTTTTTTTTTTGTGTATATCTTATTTTGTACTTTTTCATTGGTTTTGCTGGCAAAAATAACCAACAAAAATTTCTTTAACTTTCTTCGCGTGAACTCCTTTACAAGTTTTTTGAAGTTATTGGCCATTAGGAAATGCCTTAACCTATATAGAAAGGAATTACCCGTACACAGCAAGCAATACACTAATGTGTATTTATAAACGCTTATTAATTGCTGCTGCTTTGGATTTTCCCAATATTATTAATAAACGAAAATAAAGTCCTTTGTGCTAAGTTGTTAAAAAAATGACAGCAAACGCAAAAACAAAAAAAAAACACAAACAACAACAACAGTGGATGCAACTGCAATTAAGGCGTGTCACTCGCGCCTCTTTTACGCTTAAATATGCCGACACACGGTCCATATCGTGTCTGACTCTGTGTTCGGCCACTCGCCTGTTGGATTTACATACATGTATGTATGTATTTTTTGTAGCTGTTTCATTTTTGTATACGCTTCGTTTTTCGCTTACGATAATTTAATTTAATTAATTAGCCGCACATGCCACTTTTAAACACAAACGTCGTTCATTTTATATGCATATGCATATATATATATGTGTGTGTGTGTGTTTCGTGGTATTCGAGTAATGTGCCAATCCCTTCAAAATGTCAACGAACTGTCAAATTTGTCAGTCGATATGCATTTAAAGTGTTATTTGCTTGATTGCCGAGCAACACACTTCAATTATCTGACTACATCTGCTTTAAAGTTGCCACAGTTTGTGCGCTGTTCGCCTGAGAAACTAAATTTGCTTCCCGCTTTTTATACACTTCATTGCTGCTCGCACGCCTTGACATATGTCATACTATGTGATAAAATGTCATTAATTTGGTGATGCTTGATTTTTCTGCCGCTTTGGTACGACACTGAGAGCACCCTACGATAATTTCTTTACACAATTAGGGGGTGTGTTGAGTCTAAAGCGAAAAATTGCAAAATGAAACGATTAGTGGATCAAAGCGCCGAATGCCTCTGCATTGATCTTTTATACTCTCGCAATATGTTGCTCAGTGTATTATAGTTTTGTTAACCTAATGTTGTTGGTAACACCGGACTGTAGTGGTTTTGAGCATTTAAAGCGCAAACTGAATCGATTAAAGTTTGATTCCTAGATTAGTACCTTTTCGATGTTTGTTTGAAGTTTGATCTCCATATGTCCATTAGTGTGTGTTTTACTCATAACAAAAAACCTGAATCTTTTGTAAAAACGAGATCGAGTAGAGATCGCAGAAGAGATGCTTGACAACGTAGTTGAGGACTCTACATTTATCAAAAACTTTTGGTTTTTTGTTTTATCAGTCCGGGTCATATTTGACTAGATGTATATGAGTATATAGAGTTATATTAAAATGATCAGGATGAAAAAATAACCTCCCAAAGGCCTACTGGCAATATATACTGATCACTGCGGACTCAAGAGGCTACTACTTAACCTTTATACCCCTCTTCTGCAAATTATCTGCAACATGGGGTCGGAAATTCCGGCTTACCTGCTTCCTAATTGCATAGCGATCTGCGATGCAGAAATAAGGTCCTTGACTCCACATATCGGAATAAGATATATACAGTACCTCACTGGCGTATAGCAAGATATTCAAATTTCTCGAGCTGCTGGGCCTATTTGAGTCTTCTTCAAAACGAGGAGGGCACAATAGACCTCATTAATATTATGTTCTATTCTATGCGTTCGTGTGAATATAAATCCGTAAAAAAAAAATATTACAGCGGGCGTGGCACCGCCTACTTTTAGAATAAATTGCATATCTCAGCAACCGCTCGACCAATTTCAACCAAATCCGGTTTATAAAATGAAATTAGCATCCTTCAGTTACAGTTTGATGAATATGATAATATAAAGATTTTCGACCATCCGATTGATTTCATACCGTATATAACGGTCAATATATGTGATATTGTAATGAAGGGAAACGTATATATGTATTTATTTGGACATAATATAGTTCACCGTTGCATATTATGGAAATCGTTTCAGACCGTCCGATTCCATTTCCTAGAAATATGAATTCTCCCTTCGATTGCAGCTGACTTTTAATTTATATACCCAATATATGCTATTATATACTTCGATCCTTGACAATTGTTGCAGTATAAAATTTTCGGCTGCAGCCGAACTTAGCACTTTCCTACTTATTTTTATTTTTTTCATAATAAATATGCCATAGAGACAGCAATTTGTTCAACAATTTAAACACAATTGTCACTCTGTGAAAATGTGCGGTTCTCCATAACCTAAAATATATGCACGCTGATTACCAGCGAAACGCCGCATTCTCTAAATGTCGCGCATTAAAAATATGGACACACATATCTACATACTTACATTTGCGGTAAATGCTGACGCACCTCTTTTTCAACGCCACTTAATCGCTCCAAACCGACAGTTATCAGCGTAACCACAATTTCCAAACAATGAAAAGCATAACAACATAACCTAAGCCCGTGCAGCAACGATTGTAACGGTTATACTTTTGCATTTTGCGAAATCGTCACCAACTATTATTATTATTATTATTATTATCATAATAACCGCCGTCAGCCATCCATCACCGACACGCACGCTACCACAAACAAGTATATATATATATCTGATAGGTGCTTGGTCGGGGGCGGGGGCCACACGTGCAGCGCAAACATACAACAACGCTTTCGTCACTGATTTAATTGCCGCAAATGCTTCACTGGCTGTCGGCATATCTGCTCATTCATTTTGTTGCCATTTGTAGAGCGTTCCCCGTGCGCACCTCGACTGCCGCCACCGCACAGCCGTCAGTTCACAGTCAACAACTCACCTTAAATACTCGTATGTTGATTGCTCTGTAGTTTTTATGCATTTGTGTATATGTTTGCCACTAATCTCTCTCTGTTTGTTTACTTTGTTGTCTGCTTCCAAAATCTAGATTGGATTATGTGGTCGCTCTTGTGTTGATTTATACAATTCTGCATTTGATTGCTCTTTTCCAGTTTGCAATACAATTTCAGTGTTTTCAAAATTCTTTCACCGCTGTTTTGAGTGTGTTTTTTTTCGATTTGGTTTGCTGATATTTTCATGTACTCCTCTCCAACTGTGTGAGGAACGTTTTTTTCTTGGAATATGTTCTGTAATGTGCTTGGTAAGTGCCTGGAGAGTATGTGTACACATAATATTCGCATTGCTCTTAATTTTCTTGAAATGTGCTGCGGTTCTTAGTTTGAAGCTTAAATATGCATACAGACCACGATATTTATGGTTCCAAATGCAAAACCGCTAAAGTCGCTTCATGGCAAAACTCCGTTGTGACTTTAATTTCATATTTCCTAGAGATTCACTGTATTAAAATTTCATTTTACAAAACTTAAAAAATTATCGAAAAATTCAAATACCAAAAATCGAATATTAGACGTCGACATCAAAACTGGCTTCTAAGATATTTTAGATCTTAATTTTTCTTCTTAAACGGACGGTCTTGTTTATGTAACAGCAAAAAAGATATATAAGAGGAGTACTGCTGTAGACATTGTCCTAGGCAAAAAGAAAAAGCCAAGATCAATTTCTTTTGTTTTGGGGAATAAAGCTGATAGTCTTAGTAACTGTTGATAAAGCTTAAACCTTCTTCAACCAAACCAGGGAAGTACTTGGAGTTTTCAGTATTAATACATTCCGTGACTTGTAGATCGTCTGGTCTTTCGAAAGTTCCCGAGCAAAATATCATGCCGCCACAACTGTGTTATATTTTTAAGCATTCCAATATAAATCGTGTATCATTCGACCTTTTGTTTATTAGAATTATTCTTAGTGTAAACTAGGGTTTAGATAGACTGTCGGTCCTTGCAAGTATCGCCTAGTGTCCTAGAGATATTAAGCTTAGCTATCGACGCATATAGAGAATTTAATAAGAGGCATTTCCACTTGCAAAGCATTAATATACACGCCCTTTTATAATTCTTTTTTTTTTTGTTTGAAGAGGCATTTTATTTTATAATTAAATAAAAAATATGCATTTGTAGAATTTAATGTACTTTCCCTGATTAATTTTTAAAATTTTTGGATTCCCATGTTCCCGTAGCCGAACTTCAAGCGGAGCTCCGAAAATAGGAAAAAAGTGAGCAAGATTTTTCTGCTTAAAATTATCAGAAATCCAAAAACCAAAATAAATTTATTACTATTAAAGTTGATTACAGATAATGATCGAGGGATTAGTCAAAATTTTGATTGTGTCGGTTATTGTGAAAAACATACACTTCAGAGTGAAAATTATAGTCAAAATATTTTTTCGATCATTACCAAACAAATATAGCTGAGAAAGGCCGTGTGAAAATTACAAGCCGATTGGTCCTGTCGTTTTGGAGTTTTGGAGATATTTTACGCACCGACTCTGAAAGCAGTGTTTCCAGGGCAAGTTTTGGAAACCGAATACACTCAGTTAAACAATTCATACAAATATGTACCTATCTCCGTAATTATTTGCCGGATAAACTTAAAATTTTCGGAGAATATTCTCAAATATATGTACATTTGGTATATATGCAAAAAAAGGTGATATAAGCACTTAACGCAATATGAAAGGATTCAACAAGCAGTTCCTGTTATTGTTGTTGCTCTTGTGATCCATTAAGATCCTACGTAAACATATGGCGAGAAATTTGCTCAGAAAATTGCTTCCGATTTCATAGGTGCGATGGTTTTAGGAATGATCAAGTAAACTCTAAAAAATTATTAGTTCGAACACCTACATACAAGTATATTCATCAAATGATGTGATTACGTTACTTTTATTATATTCGAAAAATGTGAAATTTCCTACAAGGTCTTATCTCTTTTCCATATTTGCTATGTCTACTTACCATATACTTTTGTTATATTTACTCACTGTCCATGCTGTGCCCATAGTATTCATGTTGGACACACCTTCGCTTACTAGTGTATACATATCAAGAACGTAATTGATGCTGTGTGTACAATTCACTTGCAATACACAACTTAATTTCAAGTTGTCATTGACGTATGTAAATATACGATCGTACATAGGTATAACTATTGTTTGTCTTATTTTGATTTATCTGTGTTTTTGCTTGTTGTTATTTTTATGTTTTCTTTTTTACTTTTTTTTTGTATTTTTTTCGTTTATGCTCTTTGGTTGTTGTATTGCATTTGTCAAATAATATCCGGTTAATGCAGAACTATCGATATTGACATAAGCAAACCTATTTTCCAGTTGTTGTTATCTTTATAAAAAAAATTTTTTTTTTTTTTTTATTCTCAACCTTTTTTGTGTGTGTTCTTAAACCAAAATTGTTCTTTTTAAAGTTATTTTGTTTTTGTCAAGCTGTTCGGCAAAAGTTTGTTAAATATGAAGATATTTTTACTGATAAAATAAATTCTCAAACCAATAATATATTATTATTATTATTTTTAGGTTATGCTATTATTTGTCTGTATATACGCGATCTAGTTGCTTAGTTTTTGAGATATCGGTCTGAAATTTTGCACCTGTCCTTTTCTCCCAAAGAAGCTGCCCATTTGTCTGAACCACCTATATCGGACCAGTATATAATATAACTACCATACAAACTGATCAATCAGAACCTAGTTCTTGGTATAGATTATTGTCCAAAGCAACGCTACAATCTCCGAACAAATTTTTTAGATCAGACCACTATAGCATATAGCTGCCATACAGACTGAACGATGAAAATCATGTCTTTCAAAGGAAAACTTTTTTAATTGACGAGATATATTTAGGAAATTTGGCATGAATTATTTTCGAAGCCAATGCTACAATATCTGAACATATTGTTCAGATCGGACCAATTTGGCATGTAGCTGTCATACAAACTGAACGATCAAAATAGAGATAAGGATTTTTTCATAGTTTTTTTTTTGCTATAAGAAATGCACTTGTGAAAGCTATTATAGCTTCGCTGTAGCCGCAGTTAACATTTTTTCTTGTTTTAGGTTATGTTATTGCCTGTTTGTTATAAAACGTTATAAGTCATACAATATAATGTTTTTAATTGAGCATTTTGGTTAGGTCTTCTGTAAATATACGATCGATCGTGATTATAAGATCTGTCCACTGCTTAGACACTGTTGATGTTTTCCTTTTTATACTCTCGCAACCTGTTGCTACAGAGTATAATAGTTTTGTTCACCTAACGGTTGTTTGTATCACCTAAAACTAATCGAGTTAGATATAGGGTTATATATATATAAATGATCAGGATGAAGAGACGAGTTGAAATCCGGGTGACTGTCTGTCCGTCCGTCCGTCTGTCCGTCCGTCTGTCCGTCCGTCTGTCCGTCCGTCCGTGCAAGCTCTAACTTGAGTAAAAATTGAGATATCTTTATGAAACTTGGTAGACATGTTTCATGGTACCGTGAGACGGTTGGTATTGCAGATGGGCGTAATCGGACCACTGCCACGCCCACAAAACGCCATTAATCAAAAACAAATAACTTGCCATAACTAAGCTCCGCAATAAGATACAAGACTGTTATTTGGTACACAGGATCACATTAGGGAGGGGCATCTGCAGTTAAAATTTTTTTTAAAAAAGTGGGCGTGGTCCCGCCTCTAATAGGTTTAATGTGCATATCTCCTAAACCGCTAATGCTATAATAACAAAATTCACTGGAAGCAAATATTTTTAGCACTTCTATTGACGGTGTGAAAATAGTTGAAATCGGGTGGCAACTCCGCCCACTCCCCATATAACGGTACTGTTAAAAACTACTAAAAGCGCGATAAATCAAGCACTAAACACGCCAGAGTCATTAAATTTTATCTCTGGGATGGTATGAGATGACTTTATAGGAACCGCGTTCAAAATTAGACAGTGGGCGTGGCACAGCCCACTTTTAGGTGAAAACCCATATCTTGAGATCTGCTTAACCGATTTCAACCAAATTCGGTGCATAACGTTCTTTTCATGTTTCTATGTCACAGTGCAAAAATGGGTGAAATCGGACTACAACCACGCCTACTTTCCATATAACACCATTTTAAATTCCATCTGATTATTTCACTTTCCACTATGCAAATCAGGCAACAATGACTGTATCGGGATAAAACTTTGCGTGAATAATGCGATTAAAGTATGCCACCTTGTGGCCAAAAATTGTCTAAATCGAACCAAAACTGTTTAAGCCCCTAAGTACTAAATATGTGGACCCCAGTGCCTATAGTTGACCTTCTACCGAAAATATCAGCCAATCCACAAAGAAATCTCAAACGAGTATACTATTTGACTTTGCGAGAGTATAAAATGTTCGGTTACATCCGAACTTAGCCCTTCCTTACTTGTTTTATATTTTTTTTTATTAATTTAAGTATTTTTGAATGATTTAATCCTTGACATTCCGGCATATTGCGTTCAAACTCTTTTAATTTAAAAAACTTCAATAATCGAATCGATAATTTTATTCAACAGGTATTGAATACTTAGTGGAAAATCGCCTGCTTAGACACGACCCCCAAGATGTTGCGCATTTTCTCTACAAAGGCGAAGGTCTTAATAAAACCGCAATCGGTGAGTTAACTCAGATACCATACAAAATCTTCCAATAACTAATAACTCAAAATATATACCCCACAGGTGACTACTTAGGCGAGAAGAACGACTTCAATGAAGACGTGCTGAAAGCATTCGTAGCGCTACACGACTTTACGAATCTAATATTGGTGCAAGCTTTAAGACAATTCCTGTGGTCATTTCGGCTTCCGGGTGAGGCGCAGAAAATCGACCGTATGATGGAATGTTTCGCGCAACGCTATTGCCAACTAAATCCGGATATATTCACAAATACCGATACGTGTTACGTGCTAAGTTTCGCCATTATTATGCTCAATACATCGCTGCACAACCCATCGGTGAGTAAAGTTCGCGGAGAGGGGGTGGAGGAGGCATATAAGCAGGTATATGCCGTTTAAGCGTGCTGCCTGCACAAATTATTTGCTGCGAGCGGAAATCAATTAAGTGAAATAGCAAAAAACGAACAATAACAAAAAGAGCGAACCAAAAAGCGATGCTGCAAAAATTGCAGTACTTAACAGCAAAATGATTTTATGCTTTTCTGCTATTAAGCACGCTTCCGATCACATACTGCGCGTGTCAAAGTATATACATATATAGTTTTTTTTTACATTTTATTTTTGTACCCTGAACTGGGTATATAAAATTCCCACGAAGTTTATAACACTCAAAAAAATTACGTTGGATACTCTATAACATATATACATATATCCGAATGACCAATGTGACGGACTGAGTCGATTTAGCCATGTCCGTCTTTCATTTTGTCTGTCTGTTTGTATATAGTAAGTAACTAGTCCCGAAGTTTTTGAGTTATCGCTCTGAAACTTTGCACAATTGCTTTTCTCTTTCATCTGTCGGAACAACCGATATCGGACCACTATAGCATATAGCTGCCATACTAACTAACCGGTCAAAATCCAGTTCTTGTTTAGAAGTTTTTTTTATTTGACGAGATATCTTTACAAAATTTGTATTTGTATTTGGTACAAACTCCGAAAATATTGTTCAGATCCAATCACTATTACTTGTAGCTGACATATAAACTGACCCATCAAAATCAAGTTCTTGTATGGAAAACTTTTTTATTTGTGAAGGGTATTACAGTTTCGGTGCAACTGAAGTTGACGTTTTTTCTTATTTTATATATATATATATTTTTTTTGTAATATTTATAGCTCAGGGTTTGTCGGACACTGGCGCGCCCCAAGCTGTCTAAACAATTTGTCGAATTTTTCGCGTAATTCAAAAAGCTCTTTTTGTTGCTGCTATCTACAGCATTCTATGCATATTCATTGCATTTGGCATGCACGCTAATAGCAGGTGGCCGCCACTGACACTGTCAGGCTGTTGCAACTGCTGATGCAACTTATTTATTTCTTTACAAAGTCGGTAACATCCGTCCCAGTTAGCTTGCTGCTCTTGATCATCACTGTTTTTTTTTTTTTTGTTTTTTTTTTTGGTTTGTTGTTTGGCATAATTTAGTGCGAAACCGGCATTTACACTTCACACTGCCACCATTATCCACCCACCAACACCGCGCCCAGCAATTTGCTCATTTGTTTTCATCAAAACAACCATGTAAACGGCTCTAATTGTTTGCAGCTTGCTGTTGTTGTTTGCCTGAATGATCTCATTTGTTTTGAGTAATTGCTTAATTCTAAAAATAGGTCAAGTATAATTTGAAAAGTATTTTACACATTTTACATTTGTCTTACATACACATCATACAATACATATATATATATATATTTGTGTGTATGTTGTTTTTTGTTGAGTTTTCGCAACTGTTACAACTTAGATTTTAAAATACCGCAAATGCTCTCAATTAATACGATTACTAAATATAATAAGTAACTGCATGAATCCGTTTCTATGGGTTTACTTGTCGCTTGAAGGGGGCAATGACCGCCATACTAGCGCTTATAAATCGTGAAAACCTTTTTTCATTTAAGCAAATTTAATGCTAATTTAGTATATATGCATATATGTATGTATGTATATACATATGTATGTAGCAGAGAGACTGAAAAGTTCGCGAATACTTTTGCTATAAATATTATTTTTTTTTGGCAATTTTCGAAATTACATTCGCTACAATCTCCATTCAAATTGTTTAGATCGAAGCACTATACTAGCATAGAGCTGTAAACGGTATTAAAGCTTCGGTACAGCCGAAGTTGACGTGTGTTTTTTTTTAATATTATACTTTAAACCTTTAATTCTCATATATTGTTTACAATACTAATTTTCCTCTCCATTTCTTTAGGTTAAAGACAAGCCCACCGTTGAGCATTTCATTTCAATGAATCGTGGCATTAACAATGGCGGTGATCTACCCCGCGGCCTATTGGAATCCCTTTACGAATCAATACGAACGGAACCATTTAAAATACCACAAGACGATGGTAATGATTTGATGCATACATTCTTCAATCCAGACAAGGAGGGCTGGCTGTGGAAGCAGGGTGGACGGTAAGTCACAAACTCCATTAACTTTGCTTATTATTTATCAATATGTAGTGTACGAAATCACATTTATAAATATGCATAATACTCAATCAGTTACCCACAACCAGTTTTAAGGCTCTATTTAATGAAAAATAATTTTAGGTATCAGAAAAATAATTTCAAAGTGAAATTGCTGCTGAAAACGGCTAATACATTAAATTGTTCTGAAATAATATCTTATTTTTTTTTATGTTTTATACCTTATTTTAAAATTTTTACATGTACTTTTTTTATGAATTGTGAGCTTAGTTTTGGCCATATTTTCGTACTCCACAAATGACCATTCATTTAAACCTTATATTATTATTTTTTTTTTTTTAGGTATAATCTAGTATTATTTATTTGTTATTAATTTTATTTAAAATTACTTTTGCTTTTTATCATCGAAAATTATTATTATTTTGTTTTTACATTTCGAATATTAAGTATTTATCCAAAGCAGTTATTTCGTACCTAACCTAAATGTTTAGTTTTGACATTTTGAATATTTGTTCGCATAGCATGTTCGAAATCCCATGTGTCACGAAAATGTCTTTAGATAAAATTATATCTACAACAGCGCTGGAAATTTAGGACTGTTGCTGGCTTTACTTGTGGCTTTTAGTACTCTAGTACTGTTAGAGGGGTCAATGTCCTTCTCTAAATTTTTTGTCGACATTGGTTAAGCGTTTCCAATCGGAGGCAAATATTTTTTGCGATTTTTTGCCGCAAAAATTAATGTTGAAATTTCTGTCAACATTAGAGGATCGCCCTAATATATTTTAATATTTTGAGGACTTGAACTTTTATCAAAATTTTATATGTTGTTGTTATAACATGACATATTTCTCTAACTATTTCGCCATTCGTGAAGCGTTTCCAATCGTAAAATCAAAATTCACGAGTTATGCAATTTTCTGCCGAAAAAATTAATGCTGAAATTTCCGCCAAAACATTCGCGGATCACGCTAATATATTTTAATATTTTGGGGGACTTGAACTTTTTTCTATACTATACACATAACAACCCTTAGCTGGGTCAATTCGTTCGAAGGTTTCGCTCTCTGAACCTACGGTATATAATGGTCAATATTTGAGCGAATTTAGCTCGAAAAAATCGCCTTACAAAATGCGTTACTCTTTTGGAGATGGCTTCTAATTGTCGATTAAAGCGCACATGGAAAATGAAAAGGGTTCGCCCCAACATCAAAAGTTTTAAAATTCAAAAATGAGTATATTTTTTAGTCGCTCGTAAATCACGATGTGAAGTGCTAGTAACATTTACAAAAGAAGTTCTTTATTTGAAAGTGAATTATATTATTTTTTTGGCATTATTTCTTTACTGTTACGTTTATAAGTTATTAAAATTTAAATCAAAATTACAACAAAAAAAATATTAATATAATTTTCGGAATTAAATAATACAAAATAAACTTAATTATGGATCAAGTGTATTTACAAGTTCTTAAAACGAAAAGAGAGCAAAAAACAGCAGCAAAAATGGTTAAAGAAAGTAATTGGATAAAAAGGAAATTTGGATTAGAATAAGAATTTGGATAAGAAGCAAAATTGGATTAGGATAAAAATTTGGTTAAACAAATTATTGCAGCATTTGAAAACACTAACATAAACGCATGCTAATACTCATACATACATATATACATAAGTGGATAAAGATCTCTTGCACCTACATAATAATTATACCTAAGGGAAACTGGTTAAGCCAGCACAACTGATTAATAATATCTTGATGTTGCAGTTATAAATCGTGGAAGCGACGCTGGTTCATATTGAATGACAATTGTCTGTACTACTTTGAGTACACAACGGATAAAGAGCCCAGAGGGATCATACCACTGGAAAATATATGTGTGAGTAATGAAAAACATATTTCATTTATTTACTGTTATTTGTAATATACATACATATATTTCTTTGGCAGGTGCGTGAAATACACGATCGCAGCAAACCGCATTGTTTTGAACTGTTCGCCACCGGTGGCGCTGATATTATTAAAGCTTGTAAGACTGACTCCGAGGGAAAGGTGAGTGGCATTGATTATATATAGAGTCATAGCTTATATATTAATGACTTATATATATATATTAATTGTATATATTATACATATATTTACTTGCAGGTTGTGGAAGGCAAACATACGGTTTACCGCATGTCGGCGGCAACTGAAGAAGATCAACAAGAATGGATCAAACGTTTAACACAGTCGATTAGTCATAATCCCTTCTACGATATATTAGTACAAAGAAAAAAGAAGGCGCTTAGCAAAAGTTAGTATCGGACGACGGACAAGCATGCAATGTTGACAATCCAAATGATGGATCTCAGTGCGCCTCGCCACCGTAAGAGCGAGGAAGTGAAACAGTGTCGAAGCCGTCGTCAATGTCAACGACAACAACAACGCCAACACAGTCGTGTACGTGGCATGCGCCGCCGCACAAACAGCCGCAATGTTAGGTAGAAAGTTTGCGTGTGACACGCTGCGGCTGTAAGGAGTTTTAAGGATATTAAAAAAAAGACTGTGCCTGTGTTTGCGGCATGAAGCCAAAGGCGCTCATATTTATGTTATGTCGTCTGTTGCTAATAACGGCATTGCAGTGATGCAGCGGCATACACTCTACAGTGTCTAGGCATAACTTGGGGAAAATATTCGTAGAGCAAAGGCTGTTGTGACGCGTGTCTTTTTTTGTAACTTCTAACCTAAAATACTGTACTATATACAGATATAGTATGTTTGTATGTCTCACTGAAACCCAGCTGTAGTGTAGTGTATATAGAAAAGAAAAAAAGTGTAGGTGAACGATGTAATTTGTAATTAATAGTCTATAAATAGTTTATTGAGCTTGTCGATCATTTGTTCGTTTTCTAATGTCCTATGAATATTGAATTGTAACTACTTGATCGCGCACAAAACGCAGTTGTCTTTATTGTTGTGATATAATTTTTAATTTATGCTTAAAATTTGTATTGTATTTAAAAAAAAAAATGTTTTTTTGTTAAATCAATTATGGAAGGAAGAAAAAGCTAAAACTAATATAATTTCGAATTAGTAACATTTAATATTAATGTCAAGCAAACTACTTATGGAAAATATATCCAAACACTGCTTATTAATGTTATATATAGTATATTAAGATGTTCGTTGTTTACCATAATGATTTGCGAAAGTCGCCTGAGGTATCAGTTTTTGCCCTAAAACAAAGATCCAAAGTAAACAAGCGCATTAATTTCAATTTATGCGGTGTTGATATATTATTTCGTTCCCATACAATTGAAAGTCATTTCTTTATATTTTGCATTAAGCAAGTAAAGCTACAACTTTGAAAAAGTGTTATTCAATTACAAATTTTCTTGCTCTAAAAAAAAGATTCTAATTTTTTTTCCATTAAACAACTTCTTTAAAAGTTATACGCAGTCAAAGTTATACATTAAATGTACTGAGCATTCACACGGGTGACTTGTGTATACTGTGTTGCTCATACGACATGGTGTACTGTATGAATACATTACATATTTAAGGCATAATTTTAACTTTTTTATAAAAAAAAAATTATTAAGACTTTTTTTCAGCGCGTAAAATTTTGAATTAGAATTTCATACTTTTAAAGTTATAGGTTTATTTTTTTTGGATAAAAAAAATTATCAAAAACTAGTAAAATTTTTTCAGTACGGTCAAAATTAAAAATAAAGCGGTTTTTTATATTGGATCTTTATTTTTAGAGCAAAATCTAAAATTTAAAGGAGCGTTTGCAAAAAAAATTCAATTTGGAAAATAACGGACACCGTTGTGCTACTATATGTGTATACACAGCAACATATCGTGCGAAAGCTGGACTTAAACAGCTACCTTATGCGTAATTAAGTTAATTTTATGTAAATCAAAGAATTGTAATTAGTTGTATAGTAATTAGGGTTCTGTTACACACACACACACACACATGTATGCATGTTTTGTAAAAACAACAAACAGAATAAAAGTAATGCTCAGCAATAAATCTAGTTAGACATGTACACACATGCCACATTATAGGGCGTGTATGTGTTTGTATATATATAAAAATATATAAAGAAAATTTCCTTAAAAGTGCTCGAATAGTCTACCTTATAATTAAACATATGTATGTAATTAAGTAATATCAAAAAGTAAAAAAAAACATTAAAAACAAGAAATGATAGAAAAAAAACCGAGTGAAGGAAACAAAAACAAACAAGAAAAGGCAACAAAAAAAAACAAGAAAAGGGGGAAAAATCAAGAAAAGGCCACACAAAAAAAAATAAAACAAGGAAAGGAAAAGCAAACAAAAAAGCGAACACGTCAACCAGTCAAAGAAAGTTCTTCCAAACATTGATATTAAAACGCGTAAACCACATGCTACTCATATAAGTTAGCAGTAAGGCATAGTTGCAGCGGCATATACTAAAAATTTGTAAATAAACTGCATTATTACTATACTTTACTTCGCATATTAGCCATCAATTTACGCATGCGCATGCTCAGCGCGAAAATCGCATTTAGTTGCCACGCGAATTTAAATTAAATAACCAAAGTCGCTTGTAGCATGCTATATATAAATATTTACATTTTAAAATTTAATATTTGAAAAAAAAAATTTAAATTTGAAATTTCATAAACACAAACATTTCCGTGATGATATAATATTATGAGCAGCTTTTTGTGACATAATATGCGAAAACTAAAGTGTGGTAGCTTTAAATATATACTCTTTTGTTGAAAAAAATGCGGCTACTTGCTGTTAAGCGCCTATTTTTGTTCGCAAGCAATTTGTTTTCGGTAACTAGGAAGCATCTGCTCATGTTGAAGAGAGATAGAGCATAATAATAACTTTTTTTCGCTAGCTAGCTTGTCGTTTTTCGTCAGCAATAATTTTGATCAAAGCATAATGAAGAAAGAGTTTTTTTAAAATAACAAATATAAATTAAAAACATGTACTAGGGATTTATTTTTGTTTATATGAGATTTAGCCAGGGTTGCAAATAATGCGTTGAGAAAATTATTGATTAAACATTTAATTTAAATTTTTTTTTTGCTTTGTAAACCCGAAAATTTTAATTAAAAAATTAATTTTAATTATTAGTACCAAGTGAATGAAAAACAAATTTAATCCCGAAATCGAAATTAAATTTTTGTACCCAACTTCTTGGTTTAAATACTGAAAATGTAATTGTTAATCCGTAATTGGGCTTAAAAGAAAAAATCTAATATTTAAACCAAAACTTTTGAATTACAAAATTCGCGATCCTGGTGGTAATAATATCGTTTCTCTGCATTAACAACAAATGTAATCAAATTGCTGTGCAAAAAAAAAAAAAAAATTTTAAGTAAGCTAAAAAATTCTTTATACAGAAATTTTCATTAAAAAACGTTGGAATTTCATTCAATTTATTTTAAAAAATATTTATTACAACATATTACATATAAACAACAATAAATTACTAGTATTTGCATTTTCACTCCAACAAAAAAAAAATAAAACTTTGAAGCAAAATCGTCCAAAAGTCACGTTAAATATTCTTATATAAGAAACCGCCCACATAACAATAAATACAACATCACAACGAATGAATATACAACAAAATTTGCTAAAGCTTATGGTTACAAAAAAATAGAACACCGATTTTTCTCAATGTATTTTGGCGTAAGCTTGATTTGCCTGTAAAACGTGTATCTATATACATATATAATTAAATATTTATGTATAACGAAAAATTAGCGCTTTATACAACTTTTCAACGATTGCAATATTATTTTATATAAATTAGTTTAGTTAGCGTATGCATGTAATATTTTTCAAAACTCTCTCCAAAAAAGCTTGCTTGCTTTGGAGTGTTTTTCCAACTACTTACTTTTTTCCTTAAAAATGTGTGCGTTATATGTACATATGTATGTACGTAACTCATATATATATATAGTGTATTCGTCTTACATGCATACACACATACATACTTACACAAATATTAAGACAAACGTGTTTGTATTATACACCATAAATAGAATTTGTATGTAGGTATTATAGTGTAGTGGATAGAATAGTGAGTATTTGTTTTGTATCAGCTTTTGTCGTGAATTGTATTATATACTATAATTATTATATATAAAGAAAATATACAAATTAAATGTGTAATATATAGCAGAAAAATAAATAAAAAATATGATAAATATAAAGAATAATAAAAAAGTGCATTTCGAATGGAAATTGTAATTGAATTAATTGTGTTTTATTTCAAATATTATAAAAACAAATACCATGTGAGTCATTTAAAATGTGTAACTGTCATAAAAATGTATATATAAAAATAAATAAATATACTTTATACAAAAATAAAAAAATTACAAATTTACAAAGATTACAAAACTCGACAATCATTTAACCGTCGTAAGTTAGGTGCCTCGATTTTTTAAGTAGCACACCCAGTGGGATAGCCCAAAACATTGTGATTTTTAAGATATAAAAAAAAATTGTGTTTTAAGTGTATATTTATACATATTTTAGGTAAACATAGTAAAATTAAAAAAAAAAAAATTTTTAAATTTAAAAAAACAAAATTTTTTTTGTGAGTTGACGATGCTGTGATTCCGGACTTCTTCGTCGATAAAACAATATTATTATTTGGATATACAGAACATGCAAAAAAAATTTGAACGATTCATTTATCTCCGCGAAACAACTTAAGAAAATTTGAAAACTGTAGTTTTGAGAACAAAAAGCTTTTAAAGATAAACTGATGGAGCTGACTAAACTAAGCGGCTAAATTTTAATTCTGTAACTCAAAATATTGAGGAACCCTTTGAGATATCGATTTTAAATTTAGTATATTACTGTTTAAAGATATAGCTTATAGAATTATGAAAAAAACCGTTTTTTTATTTCACACTGGGTGTGTCCCTTAAAATGTAGATCTGTGCGGTTATAATAGTCTTTCGTGTCTCAGATCGAGTTCTATTGTAGTAAACTTCAAAAGATAGCGTTACCTTACTTTAGAATCCATACAATTTATTTATGTTATTGCTGTTTTTCTAGTAATTGAAAATCCACCTAAATTTCGAGTGCTAAAGCAAACTTCTATGGTAACGAACTTCTGAGAATACACTTCTTTTACTTGTATGTTTTTATTGTTGATTTTGTTGTTGTAGCGGTATAAAAACCTGCCTCAAATATGTTTAGGGAATATTGTTGGGAGCTGGCTATAAATTTGCCATCCGACTTTCGAGTAAAAGGCTATTGTTCTGGTAGCGATCGAAGACATTCTCTAAATCCGAATGTGAGGTTATAAATCCAAGTCTGTTACGATTACATAAACCCGACTATGATGGGCACGACTAACTCACTTCATGTAGTAAAATTGCATGAGTTTTGCTTCGAATCGCTTCCACATCTACCATATATTTTGGATTACACACCCAACGATCTTTTTCTGTTTTTAGACGTCGAAAGAATGCTCACTTGGCAACAATTTTGCGGCAATGAAGAGGTAATCACGAAATTGATATCTACTTACAAGCAAATGACAAACCGTGCTACAAAAAAAGTGTTGTAAAGTTGGAAGATCTCTATAATTAGTCTATCGCTTTCAATGGTAACTATGTTGAGTGTTTAGTCGTCTTCGTTTCGCCATTTCTTTGCTTGCTATTTTTAAGTCCCTTGCTCCCATGTCAAAAAATTAACATCTAAAGCAACAAAAATATTAGCGCGCTGAATCCATACAAGAGAGCAGCGGCTACCTCATTCAAGTGGTATAACCACTATCTTCAATGCCACCGTGTTTAGTGTACAAATCTTATACCAGTTTTACCATTCTAAATGACGTCAATGGCGAATTAGTTTCAAAAATGAGAATAAATGCTTTGTTTGACAATTCTTATTTTAACAACGAAAAGAAAGCAATAAGTAAAATATATCAAAATAATTGCTATGCATATCGTGATTCTCTCTAATAAAATCGGCGACTGTTGCTTGGCAATTTTGAGGAGCTAACGATGGTTTGTGGATTATCATCACTCCAAACGCTGAACAAAGTTTTGGTGTGCTATCTCGTTTGGGACACATTCGCCGAACGTGCGACGCGTTTAATGTTCGTTCGGCTTCAATTCTGGCACAAGTTGAATTTTGTAAGACCGCAAACCAATATCCTTCGACAAAAGCTTCCATAAAGTGGTTTGGCACAGCTCTAATTGTTAAGCACGATGGTAGGTGGACTTATTTGAGTCTTTTTCGATACTCTGCTCCACAGCGTCTTCTGTGTGTACCGTACGGATCTCTATGAATGCGCATTATCTAATAGAGTAAACGTGATGCAAAACCGATTTATGTTTACTCGAATTACCGATCCGCTGGACGATTATGTCGATCGAATATGGGACGCAGCGCGCGCCAACTGAACCATTATTTTAGTAATAAATTTGGTCCGAAAAAAGTGTTGCCTCATTGACAACCATACGTTTCAAAAAACATCCGTTATAAATGTCGGGACCCGCATGAACTCTTTTGTCACCGAAACCTATCTTTTCTAGGCATAGGGACGAAGTAGAAAGACGATGGGACCGAATGGTGGTCGGGTAGTACGCTTTGTGTCGCCTGTGCGAACGCATTGAGCTATAGTTAAAGATAATTTGTCGACACACGAAGACAAGAGTCTGTGTCTAAACCCAGTCTAAGTAATTCACAGCTTATCACATAATTTAATTTCATTCCCAACAAATTCTAGTTATCTAAATGCTAATTACATCCATACTTGCCATACCTCATCTTGATTAAAAAGACTATTTATATTTTTTTATTTATGTTTTTTTTGTTTTTTAATATAATATTCTCTATATTTGTTTTCAGTAATGTTTCTTTGTTACTTTTAAGTTTCTATAATAATATTATATAATTAAGAATTTATCATTTCATCTAAATATTTCAGTTAATAATACAATATAATAATAATTAATTCATTAATTAGTCAATTCAGTAATAATAATTCTTCATTAGCTTTCCCTCTGGGCAATTTGCTGCTGCTGTTTCTGTTTCCGTTTATATTTCTGTTTCTGTTTCTGTTTCTGCTTCTTTTGTTGTTATTACTTATATATTTTTATGTTTTTATGCTTCGTCTTTTTACTTGCAATTTGCCATCTTTGCGATATTTTATTTATTAGTTAATAATAGTTTTGCTTGCGGTTTCCTAATGCTTGAATGCGCTACTTTGAATTCATTTGCTTCTTTAGCTTCTTATGTATATATATGTATATGTTGTTGTTTTTTACTTTTATTTTTAATTTTTTTCTTGTAATTTACTTTTTCTTTAATAAATATGCGTGTCATGCCCTTTGACCTTTTCGCATTTATTTCTGCGTTTGATTTCTTCAAGTTGTAAACTGTTTTCTTTTAATTTATATTTTTTTATGTGTTTTTGTATGTGTGTGTGTGTTTGTGTAATTTGTTAATGCCTTCGAATTTAATTAATTAATTTCGAATTTCAAAACCATTTTCGAATTTGTTTTCGGCGCCAACACTCAAGTTTGTATGTAAGAAAATATGTATGTATGTTTTTATATGCATATAAGTATATAACCAAACATAGTCTACAGTCGTCGTATATATTCCTATACCTATATATATATATGTATATATAGCTATATATTATATAAAGAGCAAATTTGTATCAACAAAGCTTGTAAAGCAAAAACTTGCAATTGAATTTATTTCTAATATTTTCGTAATTTCTGTTTCCATATTTTTTTTTTTTTTGGTTTTCTATTTCTTCGCGCTCAACTTTTCTGTTTTTTCTGCGGTTTTTAGTTTGCTTTATGAAGCAAAATTATGTTTTTTTTAATAATATTTTATTTTCTTCTTCTTCTTCTTCTTTTTCAATATTTTTACTTACAATTTTAGGCATTATTAATTCAAAACAACTTTTCGTTTATTTACGTATTTAACGGTACATAATTAAGTTGGCTGCTGTTGTATTACTTTTTCGTTTTTCGTTTTGCATTTTCCATTTAAAATTTATAATTTTAAATATTTTTTAGCGGTTTTATTGTTGTAATGCCTTATTTTGTGCGTTTTTCAATGATAATTGTATACAATAAATCAATCGCAGTGTTTTTATGCTGTTTGTTATTGTTGTTTTATAAGTGTATGCTTTGTGAAAATCATTTTGGTAACGCCTCTTTTCTACGGTTTATCTGAAATGGACAGCTCACAAATTTTTTCATAGTTAGTTTTAATGCAGACTTATTTATTTTTTAAGTTAGGTGCAGTGTGTTTTCGCTATGGATTTCAGAGTTTAGGACTAAGTTGTTTTTAATATTGAGCATGCATTCCGTAACTGTACATTTTGGTCGCTTAAGTGCATTTAGGAACTGCTTTCATATATTGAACAGAAATTTGTCATGAAAATTGAATTGAAAAATCAAATTGAACTTCACAAAAAAACTATATACTGTAATTCCTAATTACTCCATCAGATTTTTCAAAAATCTCTTGGTACCATCTAATACTAAATGAAGTGTTTTCGAGGACGGTACTTGAATATAATTTTTATTGAAATACGTGGGTTCGAACAGTTGCTTATTGCTCCAACAGATTTGTCAAGAATCTCTCGGTGTCATCTAATACTAAGTGAAATGTATTACGGATAATACTTCACTGCTTTTTGTTTATAATTTTAACCAAAATATCCGTAGTGCCCGGAATCGAAGTTTTAAATAAATATTGAAATACAATGCATTGATATTACCGAAAGTTTATATATAAAAAATAATACATCATATCACGTGTAATAATAAAGATATCGTATCTCGAAAAGTTTTGATTATGATCAAAGCAAAAAATATCCTAGTTAATATTTTTGTCTACTTGGGTAACACCTTTAGACTTATACGAATGATGATCTGAGATTCTAACGAGTAACAAATTGTGTTTTCGTACTAGATCGGTTTTTGCGTAGGATCCATATGTTTCGTTGAATCGAAATAATACTTAGCTAAATGTCCTTATAATTCCTAATGAGTAGTATTGAACCTCGCTAAACATTGTCGGAAGCGCATGAAGCGTTAGAGAGCAGTTAGACCGCTTAATATTTTTATACTGGGGAGAAAAATAAATAGAACATACAAATAGTCCGAAAGAACTAGTGCTTTCAAGATTGAAATTAGTTTCTATTGTTATATAATGACTTTGTTCCATATTTAGTTTTTATAAAATATTTCAACAAGTAAA